CCTTTACCCGATTCAGACCCTGTTTGACGAATGCAGCATAGTGGGGTCACTCGCCCAGAGCCCAACTCGTGAAAGCAGATCAAAGGACATGTTCTCTGGGTCAAAAGTCACATCCTAACTAAAGGAAAAGTCAGTGTCAAAGGTCACAGTTGTGCCCCTGGACGAACAGTTGCAACATTCAGATATGGGAGTCACATCTGTTCATCCAGGGGGTGTGCAAGTCATGTCTGTTCATACAGGAGATGTGTCTGTACGTGCAGTATGTGTGTCTGTTCGTGCAGTATGAGTGTCTGTTCGTGCAAAATGTGTGTCTGTCCAAAAGGAAGTCAAAGGGCAGGTTTCCAGTTCTGTCTAAGTCTAATAGGGGGTCTAGATTCAGACACCYAGTCCGAAATCCAGGCCAGATGGCCGCAGCAGCAGCAGCCCCCGAAGGGAAAATACTGGGACACACACATGCATGGGTCTGGGACTGAAGGAGGCCAAAGTGCCAATGCAGACCAATGCAGGCCTCGCCAGGGGAGGCCAGCAGTATAAAGCAATAGGCCAGCCTCCCTTGAGATCAGATTCCCACTGGCATATTGGCGTGGAAGTGCTGTGTGCACTTGTGCGCTGGCTGGTTGGGTTAGCGCTGGAGGAGAAGCTGCGCTGAGAGGAGGAAGAGAGCTGGACGCTGGCTTGCAAGTGGCAGCCATATCTGCGCCAGCTAGTTAGTATAGGTAGTGGGTTAGTAGTTAGTCTACAGTGAGTAGCATTCAAAGTAGATCTCCGTAGTAGGAGTGTGCATGTATGGTGGGACAAGAGAATCAAGACTGAGATCCAAGAGAGAGAAGAGAGAGAGAGTGGGGTAGGATCTGGCTATGGTGGATACTTACCTGCTGTGCACTGTACTTGAGTTCTGAAGGTGGCGCTGGCTTACCAAGGCCCCATTCGTGAGACAGAAGGAAGAAACTCGTGATAATGTTGGGCGCTGAACTTTGGATCTCGATATACTCTTGTATAATGTGTTAATGATTAATTGAGCTGCGCATCTTGGTTCTATCCCATCTCATTTGGACTATGTGTGAGCTTCATCTTGTGTGAGTCATTGTCCATGCATGCGTTGTGATACACTCCAGCAAGAGGAGGACAGTCAGGTCCCTAGCACATAAGTTGAGATATGTGCCAAAATGCCCCTGAAAGATGTGGGTAGAATGCCCCTCTGACAAAAAGAAAAATTTGTGAAATACGGTTCAAATACCCCTCGCGTGGGTTGGACCCCTCATCTTTGTGATATACCCCTACCGGGTACCATCCAACTTTGCAAAATACCCAGAACTTGGCAACTTTCCTAAGGCCCAGTTGCAAAAGGCCATGCCCAAACGGCGAGGTCCAGATCGCAAATTTGCACACCTGCCTGACAGGGGCATAACACAAAGATTTCGGCCCAAAAGGGCATTCTGCTCTACCCACATCTTTCAGGGGCATTTTGGCATATATATCTCAACTTACGGGGCTATTTCGCAAATTATCCCTTAAAATTAAAAAAAAAAAAAAAAAAAAAAAAAAAAAAGATGATTTGGCAATCATGAAAAACACAGCTTTTGTCTTGTGAAGTTGTTGTCGTTTCATCTCAAAACGAATCGCAACTTGAAACCTCAGAATCCCAAAAGCTAAAAGAGAGTACCCCATGCGCTCCCTTCTTCCCCCTCACACACACACACACACAACCACCACCACCACTTAAAAAAAAGAAGGAACAAAAAAAGAAAAGAAGTTAAAGAACTGTGACACACACTTGTGCACAATTATGGTATCTCACAGCTAACTCCCATGGCGCCATCTTTTTTTTTTTTGTTCTGCTCCTTTTTTCTTTTCTTTTTGATATGTATGCTGGTTCCATGCGTCAGCCACATGTGTGATAATTGGACAAAAAGGGGCGATTGGACAGAAAGGGGCGATCGGACAAAAAGGGGTCGCCAGCGTCGAACAGAAGCTGTCAGAATGGGGGAAAAGGTGACGGTTTTAACCTTTTTTTTTTTTCCCTTCTCTTTTTTTTTCAGACACGGCGACACCCGTGAGATATCATCGTTAAACTGACCGGCCCGGGTAATTCAGGAATTTCAGTTCATCAGGTCACATCTGGAAAAAAAACTTTTTTTTTTTTTATTGGCATCACACTGCCTACCTACGGTCAGCACTGTATATGAGAATTGTCCGTCCCAGAAAAAAGGTTGTCGGATCTGGGATTCGAACCCAAGACCTCCAGTGTGTGAGACTGGCGTGATAACCAACTACACCAACCCGACTTGATGGGATGGTAATTCGCGATAATCCCTTTAGACAGCAGGTGTGCCACCCAGGGCCACCACATTATAATGGGTTGATGATGGTGTCATCCTGGAGCTGGAGAAAACGTAACCGTCTCTCCTCTATGGAAACTTAGAGGTAATAAACGAGCTCAAAACGGTGAAGGCATAAATTACAAGATCAAGTTAATGCCATGGTAAGAACCTATTCTGAAGTCAAACGTGCTTACTTCTTTTATATCAATATATTGAATTAAGCCATTTGGCAGATACTTCCTCACAAGGTGAGCTGCACACAAGCAAGAGCGTGTGTGCAGACAGGAGAGAAGAAGTGGAACATAAGTCCGCCAGGTTCTAGGTGCTCAGAGTAATTAATCAAAGGATCTGAAATTTCATATCTATTGAAGGCTTGGATGACTGAGATTGCTGTCAAAGAATCACAAGTGATTAAGTTAGCTTCTGATGAACTGCTTCGTGGCACGAGAGATGGTTTAGGTTTGCAAACCGTTCTTTTTTCGTTTTCATTTTGGTTTGGGTTTTGGGCCCTTTGATTGAGATATAGACTAAAGTTTTTTTTTTCGCGGTTGATAGGGCAAGATATTATGGAGCAGTGTGATACATAGGGTAGGTTCTGGCCCTTTCACACACACACACACACACACACCCACACACACACACACACACACACACACACACACACACACACACTGTGGCCCTTTCACACACACACACACACACACAGACACACACACACACACACACACACACACACACACACACATCCCCCTAGTCGTTAAGAAACTCCGCTCTTGAGGCTGAGGGCACCGGCTCCAATCGCACGGAGGAGGTCCGTCCTTGGCTGATAAAAGTACAGACTGTACTCTACCCAGGTAACCAGCTTGGAAATCAGACGAGGATTATGGTGGCCCATGGGTAAAGCCCGGGCCCATTGGAAAAAGCAGTCATGCTGGATGGGAGCGGAGTGAGCGAGAACTGCCTGTGTGGTGCATGCCTGAGTGCAGGGAGGGGTGGGGTGGACATCACGGCCGGCATGGATCCACTTTTCTACACCGTGCCATGGCTGTAGTGGTTAAGAAGCTCGGCTCTTGTGGCTGAGGGTGCTGGTTCGAATCCATGCGTGCGCGGAGGAGGTCCGAGGCTGATAAAAGTACGGACTGTACTCTAGCCAGGTAACCAGCCTGGAAATCAGACCAGGATTGTCGTGGCCCGTGGGTCAAGCCCTATTGGAAAAAGCAAACCTGTTGGATGGGAGCGGAGTGAGCGAGCACTGCCTGAGTGTGACGTTGTGTGTGTGTGTGTGTGTGTGTGTGTGTGAGAGAGAGAGAGAGAGAGAGAGTTGAAGGACAGTACAGCCATGCAGGGGTGGGTTGGACATCAGAACCAGCGTGGATGAACCTTCCTACACTGTGCCATGGCTGTAGCGGTTAAGAAACTCGGCTCTTGAGGCTCAGGGTGCGGGTTCAAATCCGTGCATGCACGGAGAAGGTCCAAGGCTGATAAAAGTACAGACTGTCGGTAGCTCTAGGTTCCCAAACAATTTTAACAAATATTTCTCCTTACGACCTTAAAAGGTAGGTTGATGTTGATAAATCTCAGATTCTTAATTCATTGTTAGAATGTTCATGAACTCCATAGTGGAATTGGCGACCAACCAACCAACCGACTGACCGACTGACTGACCAACTGACCACCAAACAACCGAACAACCCACGAACCCACCTACCGACCAACCCATGACCATCGGCCAACCAACCAAAAAAAAAAAAAAAAAAAAAAAAAACACAGAAATAAAACCAAGCAAGATGAAACGGAGCCGAAGCGAACTGGATCAAATAGAACCGAACAGCACTGAACCGACAAACCGACAAACTGACAGAGGGGAAAACCAATAAACTTGAATAAGCCAACAAACCAACAAGCCAACAAATGTTATATGATACTGGTTATTTCACAGTGCAACAACTCAAAGAAAGACAATACCGTTCAATCTCAGCTGATATGAAAGAGATTGGGAACAGAAATAGACACTGGAACAAGCAGAAAATGAGAATGGAAGAAGAAGAAGAAGAAGAAGAAGAAGATGATGAACACCAGCAAGAACCAATGTCATATTCCCCTCATCTTGCCATCATCTTCCCCATCCAACTTCTTAATAAAAAAATAAAAAATAAAAGATAAATAATAATAATAATAATAACAACAACAATAACAACTAGCTAAGTGCCCGTGGTGCGGGCGGTGCGGGCAATGCCCGCAAAAAAACAAAAACAAAAACAAAAAAAAAAGCGCATGAAGTGCTGCACCACACACAAACCATATGCACCCCCCCCTTTCGGACTTGGATCCACATCATGCTGCACCACACACAAAACCCAAACTGCGGCTGCTAAGAAGTGCACATGAATATTTTTTTTCTAACGAATAGTAGAGAATATTATTCTTTTTTTTTTAAACAGGGTAGGCGGGGCTTCTCGTTGCACTTGAATCCATATCTTGCTTCACCACACACCAAACCCGCACCAGGCCGCTAAGAAGTGCGCATGAATGTTTTCATTTTAATATATGCACAGGAATATATGTATTTTTGTTTTTAATTCAAGTAGCGGCCTGGTGCGGGTTTGGACACACAGGCACATCCTGACCTGCCAGCTGCCTGACGTCGGATACACTTCATAAAGAAGCAGTCCCCAAAAACACACAGGGACCCAATCGACCTGACTGGTTAGGGCAGTTGCATATCTGGTTAGGGCAGTTGCATATCTCAAATGTGTGTGTGGGTTCGAACCCCAACACCGACCATTGACAGCAAACTTCATAATCTTAATATGTGTGTGTGTGTGTGCATGTGGGTGTGAGTGGCTGCATATGCGTCTGTGTGTGCATGTGAGTGTCGCTGTAACTGGGTGTGTTGCGTGGGTGCTGTGCCTACTGCGGCTGCCTCCGCCACCCCAATGCTTTTTGTCCTAAACGGTAGCGACCAACGGGAAAAAAAAGAGAAAAGTGACAGCGCAGAGCGAGAAAGCGACAAGCACGCGAGAAAGCGAAGGGAGCGGGAAAGCGGGGAGCGAAAAAAAAGCGGGAACGACGGCACGCTACAACGCCAAAAAAAAAAGGGAAAAACGGCACGCTACAACGGCCAAAACAGAAAAAAAGGGAACAATGGCCAGCCCGATATGTAGTGCTAAAAAAAAAAAGGGAACAACGGCCTCTACACAAGCGGGCACACAAAATGACGTGGCTGCGTGTGCGTGTGTGTGTGTGTGTGTGTGAGTGTGTGAGTGTCACTGTGACTGGGTGCGTTGCGTGGGTTCTCTGCCTGCTACGGCTGCCTCCGTCGCCCCGATGCCTTTTTGCCCTAAACCGTAGCAACCGACGAAAAAAGAAAAGACAAAAGTGGGAGCACGGAGAGGGAAAGAGACAGGCACGCGACGAAAAAAAAAAAAAAAAAAAAAAAAAAGCGGGGAGCGAAAAAAGGCGTGTGCGTATCATTGTGACTGGGTGCGTTGCGTGGGTGCTCTGCCTGCTGCAGTTGCCTCCGCTGCCCCGATGCTTTTTGCCCTAAACGGTAGCGACCGACGAAAAAGGAAAAGAGAAAAGTGGGAGCGCGGAGCGGGAAAGCGACAGGCATGCGGCGAAAAAGAAAAAAAAAAAGGAAAGCGGGGAGCAAAAAAAGAGAGGGAAAGTGACAAAAAAAAAGGGAACGACGGCACGCTACAGGGGCCAAAAAAAAAAAGAAAAAAAGGAACGACGGTCGGCCCAATGTGCAGCGCCAAAAAAAAAAGGGGAACAACGACCGCTACACAAAGCGGACACACAAAACGACGGGCGGCCCGATATGCAGCGCCCAAAAATGAGAAACAAAAAAGCAGGCACACAAAACAATGACCGGCCCGATATGCAGCGCCCAAAAAAGAGAAACAAAAAGAAAGAAAGAGGAGAAAAAAGGAGAAAAAGAAAGAAAGGAAAAAAAAGGGGGCATAAAACGACGGTCGGCCCGACACTTGCATATCGGAGGGCTCTCCTCCGAGATGTACATCCGCATCGACGCCCGCCGTCTGCCCTGCCCTGGGAACGCGCTCTCACGTTTAATGGCGCGCTCTCAACAATTCGATACGCACACCGCTCTGCACCCCCCCCCGCCATCGATCGCCTTCATCCGCCGGCCCGCACCAAAACTTCGACCCGAATCCGACATGCAGCGGACCGTCAACCTTCCCTCGCGGCCAATACTCCTCCTGTAGTTGGAGTGGCTTGGGCGGTATAGGTGCTTGGAGTGGCTCAATCAATATAGGTGCTTGGAGTGGCTTGGTGGGTAGGTGCTTGGAATGGCTCGGTGGGTAGGTGCTTGGAGTGGCTCTGTGGGTAGGTGGTTTGAGTGGTTTGGTGGGTAGGTGGTTGGAGTGGCTCGGTAGGTATAGGTGCTTGGAGTGGCTCGGTCGGTATATGTGCTTGGAGAAGCTCAGTTGGTATAGTTGTTTGAAGTGGCTCGGGCAGTATAGGTGCTTGGAGTGTTTCGGCGGGTAGGTGGTTGGAGTGGCTCGGTGAGTAGGTTATTGGAGTGGCTCGGTCGGTATAGGTGCCTGGAGTGACTCGGTGGGTAGGTGCTTGGAGTGGCTCGGTGGGTAGGTGCTTGGAG